ACTGGAGGATCCTAGATTTGATTCCAGTCAAGGTCATGTACCTTGGTTGTGGGCACATACCCAGTAGGGAGTGTGCAGGAGTGAGCTGATCGATGTTTCTAACTCTCTATTCCCCTCCCTTCCTCTCTGTAAAAAATCAATAAAATATATTTAAAAAAAAAAAAAGCATGAACAGTCCTGGCCAGTATGGCTCAGTTGGTTGGGCATTGTCCCCTGCCCTGAAAGGTTGCTGGTTTGATTCTCAGTCAAGGCCCATGCCCAAGTTTCACTCTCAGGGTCTTGTTCTCACATTGATGTTTCTCTCTCTCTCTCTCTCAAAAAATCAATAAGGTATTCTTTTTAAAAATTTTAAATAAAATCTCCAGCTTAACCCCTCCTTCCCTTCTCTTTCTTGACTGCAAAACTCCAGTTCATCCTGCAAGGCCCAGTTCAAAAAGTCCCTCTTGCCCTGGCTGGTTTGGCTCAGTGGAGTGCTAACTCACATAATGTGTATGAAGTGCACAGCACTCAGTATCTCCTACGTGCTTAGTAAGTGGTCACTGGTATGTTCAGTATACTCCAAATTTATTTCTCCTTCTGTCATAGCCTATGTCCATTTTTGGCATTACTTATTCACTAAGCCAAAAGCCTGAGTGAAATCTTCAAGGTATCTTCATCTTTGCATTATTCCCCAGATCCAATTCATGTATAGAACCTACAATTCCTGAATGTCTCTCAAATTAATCATTATCTCTCACCTGGACCCCCCTAACAACTCCCTCAATGGTCTCTCTAACTTCCATTTTCCCTTTCAGAGTATTTCCATTCTGCTGGCCAAAGGTTTGTTAAAATATATATATACATTGATGTTTCTCTCTCTCTCTCTCTAAAAAAATCAATAAGGTATTCTTTTTAAAAATTTTAAATAAAATCTCCAGCTTAACCCCTCCTTCCCTTCTCTTTCTTGACTGCAAAACTCCAGTTCATCCTGCAAGGCCCAGTTCAAAAAGTCCCTCTTGCCCTGGCTGGTTTGGCTCAGTGGATAGAGTGTTGGCTTGGGGACTTAAGGGTCCCAGGTTCAATTCCAGTCAAGGGCACAGGCCTGGATTGCAGGCTCCATCCCCAGTGGGAGCATGCAGGAGGCAGCCGATCCATGAGTCCCTCTCATCACTGATGTTTATCTCTTTTCCTCTCCCTTCTTCTCTGAAATCAATAAAAATATATTTTTAAAAAGTCCCTCTTACAAAAAATTCTCCCAGACCATGGCCATTTTGATTCCTGGTCAGGGCACATACCTGGGTTTTGGGCTCGATCTCCAGTTTGGGACGTGCAAGAGGCAGCTGATCCCGTGACCTTCTCACACCGATGTTTCTCTCCCCCCCACTTCCTCTCTCTCTAAAATCAATTTAAAAATTTTTTAAAGTTTTTCCAGACTCCCTGACTGCTAGAGGCTCCCTCCCCGTCTCTTCAGCCCCCTGGGAGACCAGGCCTCCCTTTATACTATACCTTTTTGCTTATGTGTCTGGTCATGGCCAGGACTGGGAGCAACTCAAGCACCGGGAGGGGATCTAATCTTTCACTTACCCAGCACAACTACCCAGGCCACAATACCCAGAGGAGACTACCTTCCCCCCCGCCCCCGCTCAGCCCCATTTGGGGAGGTTTTGGGCATCACGCCTGTAGAAGGATGCCCACACAGTTGCAGGCGCTGACCTGTTTCTCCCTGTCCACTCCCATATACTTCATCGTCCCGGAAAAGCTGGCCCAGTTTCTGGGAAAAGACATAGACCCATTAAAACACACACACACACACAACAAATATATAATGTGGATGGCTAAACTCAGACTCAGCCACTTCCCAGCTTTGTGATTTGGGGTAAGTTTAGCCTCTCCAAGCCTCAGTTTTCTCATTGTAAAATGATGGTGATGACAATATCTGCTTCATAGGATTGCTCTGAGTACCTTACTGTCTAGTTCAAATCTCACCCATGACCCAAATATTACAGATGAGAAGCAAGATCAGACAGGGTGTGATTCAGCCAAAGCTTCACTTGGCTAGTCTACAGGAAATAGACAGATGAGGTTTTCTGGTGGAAACTTTTGGACAGTCATCCAACCTAAGTGTTCCCAGACCTAGCTGCCCATCATACTCACCTGGAGCACTTGTTAAAAACGCCTTGGAGGGCAGAGAGTCTAGTCACTAAGTTTTGGACAGGGCCGGGAATCTGTCTGAGATCAGCCTGAAGTTGATTCACCTTTGGAAACTGGGATCACATGGGGGACCCTCTCCACCTTCCAGTGGTCTCATGTGAGTGTGTGTGTACCACCTCTCGCTTTTCAGGTGGTCTCCCAGACCAGCCTGTAAAAACACCTGTTCACGCCACTCTTCTGTTCAAAACCTTTCCATGTCTCCTCCCCACAGCCCTCAGAATCTAGGCCTTCCCTACTCAAGTTGCCTAGTGCTAGTGCGATCAAGCTTCGGGACCCCCAATGCCTCTTTCTTCTCCAGGCCCTTGCATAGCTGTTGTCTGATCTCGGAACATTCTTCCCAGCCTCAGGCCCACTTCAGTGGCTAATACCTCATCATGTTTCCAGCACTCACCCTTATATTTTATCTGCTTGTTCACTGTTTTTTCCCATAAGACCATAAGCTCCATAAGGGTAGAAATTACACTTGTTCAGGACTGTCTCCTTGGTGGTGGGTGCCAACAGTGATTTTTTTTTAAAAAATTTTTCCCCCCCAGAGACTAAGGGAGAGGGAGAGATAGAAACATCAATGATGAGAGAGGATCATTGATCAATTGCCTCTTGCACGCCCCCTACTGGGGATCAAGCCCGCAACCCGGGCATGTGCCCTTGGCCAGAATTGAACTCGGGACCTTTCAGTTCACAGGTCAACGCTCTATCTACTGAGCCAAACCGGTTAGGGCCCAATAGTGATTTTTGATGAATGTTTGCTGAATAAATGAATGAGAATTGGCTACTCAGTGTGGCCCAGAAGAGCAGCCAAACCCCTGGAAATCTCTTCCTCCTGCTTCAGGGTGACACACCAATCCCAAGGACTACTCAGGGACTGGAAAGGTGGCTTTCTGGGTGGACACTGGGCCAGCTAAAAGCTCATGATTAGCCAGACCTGGGTCCACCACCCTCAGCCCCGTGACTTTAGACAGGTGGCTTCACCTCTCCTGGGCTTCCACTTTCTCATCTGTCATCAGGATGAGCCACATCCGTGTAACGCACTCGCCCTCTGCCTGACCCACAGTAAGTATCCAATAAACATTAGCCATCAACACTAGGTTTGCCTGCTGTTTAGCTTCCAGGGGAAGTTCTGTTCTCTGCCCCCCACCAAAGTGCCTACCCATACGAGGCATCAGAAAATATGGTAGCACTAACTTGAACCGAGTGTTTCTGTTGCTGATCTGGAATGACTGGAGCAGAGGGAACACCGTGTCCTCAGGGGAAGGGAAACCAATATTGGTCCATATCGAAGAATAGCCACACTCCCTGTTTATTGAGCACATGCTGTGTGCCAAGGCACTGGGCTCTGGGCTCCCCTCCCTGGGGGGCCCTGGAGGACTGGGAGGCAGAAAGGGAAAGGCCTGCAAAGGTGGAAGTCCTCCCCTCTTCGCCTCCAGGAGGGCCGGGACCTTGCCCCAGCTGGCTCAGGCGATCTTTGCTCTCCCCCAACGGAGAGCTTGGCTCCCCGCCTCTCCTCCCTCCACCCTCAGCCCCCATGCACAGTGCAGAGGTGGCTTCTTCAGGAGAGAGCGGATGGCTGGAGTGCAGTTCTGCCGTTTTATTATTTCCTGGGATACTCAAGGGGATGTGGGAACAGCCACAGGTGTGGTGAGGGGGAAGCCCCCAGGGGCTCCCCTCCCCAGCAGCTGGGACAGGGGAGAGGCCCAGGCGCCCTGGTCCTGGGTTGGTCCAGCCACTGTGGTCCCTGGGCCCGGTGGGCTGAGGGCGGAGGGTGAGCCCCCGAGAGGGCGGGGCGGGCTCCTAGGCGGGGTTCGGGATTCTTCATAAAAAGCCACGAAGCTGATCCCCACGAAGCCCAGCCCCGCGGGGTGGGGGGGACGCAGAGCCCAGATGGGGGACCTGGCCCGGCCTGGCCCGTGGGACGGTGGGGGCGGGGGGAGGAATGGCAGAGATGGTGCCCATGGGAGGAGATGGGGACGAAGCGTCGGACCAAGAGAAAGGAGGGTCCAGGTGGGGGCGCAGGGCGGAGAGGCACGGCCCCCGGCCCAGCCCGGGCGCCTT